TGTATGTGTATATAGATTTTATATTTGGTTTCATATTTTATTTTTATATTCTATATAAAAATTTATTCTATATATTCTATATTTTATTATCAGTTTTATATTTTATATTCTGTAGTTAACATTGTTACAGGTACATATAAGAAGCTAGCTTCTTAGGTTATCGGCATAGAATACACATAAAAAATTAAATTTAAACAGAGGATCAGCAAACAGAACGAAACGCTCATGAGGCTGCAGTGTAAAACTAAGTTCGTTTGAAAAACGTAATTATTTGTGTTTGTGCTTTACAGTGAAAACTAACTGAACAGTTTCAAACAAATATGATATAATTATTCGTTCGTTATTAGGGAGAAAAAGTTTGAAAATTAAATTGTTTCTTTAATTGCAGTGTGAAAAATGTCAGAAACAATTTAAGCTCTGAGGTTCTTTATTAATAAAAGTTTAATATTAATAATAAATCATTTTAATTATTTTATTTTGTACAAGTGTTGTAATTATAAGACACGATTTTTAAAGGTTTTTATTTGTTCATTAAGAACAAAAAAGGTCGTTACCCCCGCACCCAAAAATATCGAGGGTGTGTGTAACGACTGAAAAGGAAAAGAACTTATTAGCGAGAATGGAATGGGTTCAACCCCGCCCCGAGGGCTAACGAGTACCCATGGCGAGAGAATGTGATCAGATTTGTATTGGATGTTGTGTTTTTAGAAATGATTTTCATTTATTAGCGTGAAGGAAGGGCATGTTTATCGAAGCCCGAGGAATATCGAGTAGTATGAGGTAAGTGTGTGAGACTGGAGAGTAAAAGTATCAGCGAGAATATAGCTAGTTCGATCCTGCCCCGAGGACTATCAAATATTCTTATTTTACCCCATAAAAATCACAATTTCCCTTTATTTTAACGATTCTAACAGAGCAGGAAGGATGAATTCCTCGAAATTAAATATAACTCTCCATCAACTTCCTTCCCAGTTCTTCAAATTTATTTTATACTGTACACTTTCAAAGGGTATCTTTTATGCGTCTTTTGAATTATAAACGCGACCGTATTATTAACAAATTGGAAGTGCGGGGTGGAGGAATCCAACCGATACTCCCCGGTTTTCCTCTAATGGTATTAACAGGATTAGGCCGGGTAATAAAGATGATTAACGTCTAGGGTGAATTAAAAAGTAATTTCAGTAAACACAATAATTACCATTTAATATAAGCCGCATGTGCAGGCAGGTCGAGGGGCGGTTAACAGATACCATTAACATGTATTGTTCATTAAGAAACGTCCAGGGCAATAATTCTTGTCCCCCTTCGTCCGAGGAAGCAGTTGGAGATGATGTCCAATATTAGGGAGAAAGTTTCAAGTTCGCCCTCACCCCCACGGCCCGATAACTTCCCTTATCGGAGGGGTGAAAGACTTAAGCGTCGTTTTAATTATAAATCTTCGTCCTCAAAGTTGATTGTTGAGCGAATAGAGTATTTAATTATTCCAAGGTAATTAATTAATTAGAATTACTACACTTGAAGTGTCTTCAAGTATTGAAAAATGTTGACAGGGAAGCAAATTAAATATTGGGCAACTTAATTTAGATTTTATTATCTCATGGATCTAAAATATCCCCAGGCTTATTGGGTAAGGTATGGAATATTCGTACACTTTACATTCATAAAAGATTAAAAACAAATCGTGCATAAAAATGGCAATACCCTCCGAAATAACGTAACACGCATGACAGACCAATACAGAGGGGATAGGCAGAACAAGATGATTAGTAAAGATCACCCAGCAAACCACGCATAGATATCACACGAGTTAAAATTTATTCAAGTATGTATTAAATGCTTTTCGTATTTTTGCTATAAATATGTTAATAAAAGAAATCAATCAATTTTTTATACATATTATCGTATAAAATAAAATTTCCTTCCTTCACATTTGAGGCTTTTTTTTAAACTACTTCCATTTTAAACGTACATAAGCATTAAAAGAAAATGAAGATCAGGCCGTAAACCAACCCGATGGGAAGAAGCGGTGTAAAAAATATATAAACTCAAGAATACATCCTCGATATTGCTTTATTAAATATGGCTCTAACTTTTCAAGTTTGAACAAATAATATTTTTTAAATAATCAACTGCTGTTTATTAAGTGGTCATTTGGGTTTTGAAGTAAACAAGAATGTTAATAAACACTTTAAGAGTACAGATTTTTAAGATATAATAAAAAAAATTAAAACGAAATGGATATTAAATGAAAAATTCAAATAACAGCGGCCTTATTTGCAAAATAATTGCACGTGTGAGAGAGAATGTGCAAGTAAAAATTTAAAAAACCTATTAAGAACAAATAACAAATTTGTATATCAATATTAATAGAGATTTAAACGGAGAGAGCAATAAAGCGTGAGAGAGAGAGAGAGAGAGAGAGAGAGAGAGAGAGAGAGAGAGAGAGAGAGAGAGAGAGGGAGAGAGAGAGAGAGCTAGCTAGCTAGAGAGCTTAATAACTAAATAATAAACTGATAGGTGAAAATAAATAGATTGATGCAGAAAAGTAGAGATGATTGAAAAAGGTAGCGAGCAAGCGAGGTTACAAAAGAGAGGAAAAGAGTGAGAGAGAGAAAAAATAGTGACAAAAAATACACAGGAAATGAGAATAACTGATGGAAGAAGATAAATAGATCAATGTAAAAGAATAATATGGGAGAAAAAGGGAGAGAGAGAGACAGCAAAGAGAGAGAGAGAGAAAGAGAGAGGACATAAAGGAATGAAAAATGAAACAAAAATAAATAAGATAGAAAAAGTAATATAAGTTAATAGAGAAAAATACGCAGATGACGAAGAAAACATCAGATAAATACATATACAGAAAAAGAGTGAATGAGACAGAGAAAGAGAAAAAGAGAAAATAAAAAGTTAAAAAGATAAACAAAGAAGAGAGAAGGAGGGATATTGGGAGAACGAGATAGAAAGAAACGAAGAAATAAGAAAGAGAGAGACAAACTTACAGACAGAGAGAAATGTAGAATGAGAATGAACTAAGAAACAAAAAAACACTCAGAAGAGGAAAAATGGTCGATTCAAGTCGACTGAGATGCGAGAAAAGGGGGAAGAGAGGGAAGAGAGGGAAGGAGAGAGAGAGAGAGTGAGGGAGAGAGAGAGAAAGAGAGACAGGGAGAGAGTAAGACAGAAAAGCTAGGAGATAGGAAATTTAAAAAAAAAGATATGAAGAGTAATGTAAATTAATTGGGAAAATGTGAAGAGAACGAGAAAAGGGGACCATATACACAGAGGGAGAGAAAGAGTATAAAAAAGAAAAGAGAGAGAATGACACACAGTCAGACAGACTGACAGACAATACATAGATATGATATTGTCCTAACTTCGAACAGCAAATATCCCTTCTACTTCGTACTACTGCATAATCTCTACAAGCCATTTTCCGATTAGAAAAAAATTCCTAAGACTTCTTGACTTTTAAACCGTATAAACGCCTTCAAACTAGACATTCAAAATTAAACAAACAACTGTATCTTATATAAAATAAAGTTACTAGTAAAAGCATGAGATATATCTTACTTTTACTAACAACAAATATTGAACTGTCTATTAAGATTTAATTTAATATTGTTTAAAATAAATTGCCACAAAAAATTTCGATGGATTGCAAAGTCAAAACATCATGAGGTGTATAGAAGATCATAGAAGATGAAATTACAATTGATTAATGATTTATGAGCTTAATTTCTGGAGTTTCTTACTATACATTAATTATACAACCGCAACAGCCTGTATCTTTAGAATGAATTAATCATTATCCGGTCTTGGATTGGAAGGGTTTCCAAGGGGTCCAGGAAAGACAGAAAGTTTCGACTCGTACAGATATAACCCAGAGGGTTTGTTCACCCTCCTAGTTTCACTTAACGCCAGACACTAAGATTGACGTGCTCGTTAAACGACTCAAAATAGTGATCCCAAAAACACGTTTCGGCCGAGTAGGGGCACCCGTGCTAATTGGTTTCTACTCGGACCCCCTTCGCCGGTTCCCCTTCGACATTCGTTTCATCAAAGGGCACGCCATGTGAACAACGGAGTCACATCGACGGCGACACGCACACGCACTTTCATGGTTGAGGGCTATTATGTATTCCTACAGCCCTACGTCCGGTCGGCCGCGGCGCCCCCACTTCCTTCGTCAAATCTTGGTTGTCAGAAAAAAATATACGGACAATACAATCCTAATAAAATGTTCAGTCTCGAGACTTCTACATTCTGTAGACGCAATTCTAACATCTTTGATTAGTTCGCAAAAAAATCTTAGCTGCCCAATTAGCAAACAGATTATCCTTTCAACATAGTAATATTAATCCATTTATGTTTAGTGGTCTAATTGACCATATTAATTATTCTTTTTATGTAAGGTCTTGGTTGAGATGAAAAAGTAAGTGTCACGAGCGGGATTCGAACTAACGATCTTCGGCTCCATTCGCCGCTGCTCAAGTGCTCAATCCCGGTCGTGACACTAACTTTTTCTTCTTCAAAAAAAGAATAATTGAAATATCAAATATTTATTAACCAAACTATCAGCCTAAAAGACCACTTATAACACTGGGTAAATTTTGCGTTAGGTTATCACAGATATACTTCGACTAAAGAGAGAATCAAAGGTAAGCTTATAACAAGAAATATTGATTGTAAACACTGGCTGTCGATCCAATTACGAGACACAATTGAAACAGAATCAGCGAGTACCAATTAAAACAGTCTCAACTTGGTCCATGGTGCAAAAAAGACGAAAGCCACGTCACTTTAGCAAAACATAAACAACTAAAATTAATTAATGGAAGTAAAGTCATTAAAGGGTACGTAAATTCATCCCGGGAGACATTCTAAACTTAAAAGATTTGGATCAATTTTAAGCTTGTATTTGCAAGTAAGAAACCAAACATGTACCTAATAAATAAATGAGTGATCTAGAAACATTAAGTTTAATTTAATGAATAACTTACGGTGATGCGAACCACTGATTTGTCCAAATTTCCAAAGAAATCTAAAAAAAATTAACATAAATTAAATTCTATTTATTTCTAATATCTTTTGCTACTGGCATAACATCAAACAAACACCAGACAAGTATACGGCAAATTTTCTTACTCAGAACTACCCCATTACCTTAGTAAATGGAGGGACAACTGTGTATCATGTTAAAAAAAAAACTTTCAAAAATTTTAGAACGACCACTCTTACTCTCAACATTTTTTGAAATTTGCGCAAGAAGCAAGAAAAAAGCAGTTAGATTTGCAACTGGAGGTTAATAAAGAATGAAAATTATAACATTGAAAAATGATTATTTGAATAAAAATGATATTTGAATAAAAGAAGGTCAGTTTAGTTCAATTCAACGGTCTTGGCAGTTCATCAAAAATTAAAACGCGAAATGGCTCGATTTCTTTGTAATTTGATCAGTCTTCTTCGGAAGATGTTCTGCAAGGAAGAATTTTTGGCCCCATTCTCTTTCAGTTTACACTGCATACATTTCTATAAATTGGACTCAAGATTTGAATCACTTGACAACAATACACTCCCTACAAAAAACCTCATACATCAATACTACAACAAATTTTAAGGGTTTAAGGACCAAATGATCCTACCAAACCAATTTCAGTCTCTTAAGTCGAAAATCCTTCAAACCCTTGGACCAGCTGCTTACGTCGTATCTAACACTTTTAATCTTAAACCTTTCCTCCAGAGAATCCTTTAAGATGCCTTTCGTCTATGTGTTCTCAATGCTGCCGTGTATAATATTTGATTAAAAGAAGGTCAGTTTAGTTCAATTCAAAAAGGTCGTGGCAGTTCATCAAAAATAAAACGCTACTAAATGCTTAGATTTTTGACTTTTCTTCTTCGGAAGATGTTCTGCAAGGAAGAATTCTTGGCCCCATTCTCTTTCAGTTTTCACTGCAGACATTTCTATACATTAGACTCGTTTGATTTTAGTTTCAGAAACTTCCTGGACCATATATTTTGGAATAATGGTTCAAAAAATGGTCAGATCAACGAAACTAAGTTCCGACAAATAACATTCACCTGTCTGAAAGAAACGTCCTTCAATGTTCTACAACTCCGTTCCTGTCCAAGCAATTTATGTTATACGTTATTTGGGACTTTACATCGACTTTAATCATGTGATCAAAACATCACTTGACAACAATACACTCGCTACAAAAGACCTCATATATCAATACTACAACAAATTTTAAGGGTGCGGGGGTTCAACCAAATGATCCTACCAAACAAAGTCGAAAATCCTTCAAACCCTTGGACCAACTGCTTACGTCGTATCTAACACTTTTAATCTTAAACCTTTCCTCCAGAGAATCCTTTAAGATGTCTTTCGTCTATGTGTTCTCAATGCTGCAGTGTACTTCTAAAATTAGATCACATCCACTTAAGCGAAGCAAGTGTTCCGCTAGGCAGAATACTTGGTTTCAGTATCTTTTCAATACACACTGCACCTTTTTCAGAATTGGCAATTCATCAAACGAAGATCAAGTAGTAGCCTTCAGAGCCCACCAAGTCCTCTATTCCTGTTTAGAACAATGGTTCAAAAAATTACTCTAGTCAACTGAATTAAATCCCAGCAAATGAGCTACCGCCCAATCTACAATTTTTTCCTTTCCCCAACCAATTTCGTCCAACTTGGGATTTTACATAGACCAAAGGCTTACTTGGAATCCACGACTAAAAGATTATTCGACAAAAGATAAACTCAAAACAAAACAAACAAATCATATACACATCCATACAACTAACTTGGACGAAAAAAATTAGGGTTATACCAAACGTTCCAACGTCCAAACAATCCAGACAGTCCAGTCGAAAATCATTGACAACATTAGCCAAGCTACTTATTTCGTACCTACACTTAATTAAGGGAATGAAAATTTATTAATTAAAAACATTGACACGTTGGTTTGCTTGTAATGAAAAAATTATTCATTTTCAATTATTCCAAAAAGGTATTTGTTAATTGTTCTTTTCAAAACCTTAGTTTTCCTCTAAGAACCCCTTTCGATTCCTACGTGTTCAGAGAAAGACAAACTACACCCGGGCTACGAATTACACTGCAATAAGCGAAGTTTGCGTTAAACAAACCCCCCAGTATGGCAGCATTTCATCAAACGAGAGAAGCCCTTTAAATCCTCGGTACAGTTGAACTCTTGTAGCATTCAACCCTTTCCCGGATTCTCTGCACGTCTTCCCTTCAAATAAGGCGGAGTGAATCGATCTGTGTAAAACCGAGGACGACCTGTCAAAGGTAATTCGGAGATAGACGTTTCGACAGTTGCCAACGCCTAATGCCACAAAGGGAGAAAGCCATTTTCTTTCTTCCTTTATATTACGAATTTTTTTTTCATTAAAAATAAACAAAATAAACTTCTTTCAACCCAATTTTTCTCCCGACGAACTGTTCTAACAAAAATTTGGTTAAACTTTTGAACTTTTCCAAAATTGAATCAAGTGTATAATAAGGAAAAAGGAACGCGATTCTCTCCACAGAAGAGAAAATATATTGCCTGGGCGAACTGGCACAAAGTGTACCAATTGTTTTCGCGTTACTCCGCCCCACGAACTTCTGTATCATCGTAACTTTACACAAAAAAAAAAAAAAAAAAAAAAAAAATTAAGCATATGGTGAAAAAAAGGACAGCGATAGTATAAGTGTTTTTCAAAATATAAACTAAGAAAAACCAAATCAAAAGTTGATTGAAAGAAAGGTCACATGATTAAAAGTAAGTGGTAGAGTAGGTGGGCCGGATCGAGAAATCAATGGGTGGCCCTCAGAGGATCTGAAGCGTAGAAGAGTCATCGTCACCTGAATGAGGATAGGCCATGCAAGGTTGACACACTTACACTTAATTTTGAGCCAATGCTTGCGTAAGCGCCCGGTATACAGAAAAACGTTGCTCGATGGGTCCCACCTAATGGAGAGTTGCATTTGCTCCATATAGAGAGCGCGTAGGAATGCCACTGATATGAGAAGTGTGTTTATGCCCGGTAGGGAGTATCTGGGTCCTTTGTTACGATTCATGGAAGAAACAAGGTTGCTTTATTGCATATAGGTTTTTGTTCCTAGCATATGTTGAGAGTGAGAGAGACCATGAAGGAATACTGAGTACTCCATCGACCTTCAATTAGGTTAGTTATATAATAAGTGTAAAGTTTAATTGAAGAATGTCGAATAATTCACCACCAATTGAATGAATTGTATTGGAGGGAATATATTTAAGAATGAGTGAGAGTGTAAATGTGTTTGCATCTAGGAACTGCATGTTGACAGCGTCTGGAACCAACCGCGATGGCTGGAAGGATAAGACCAAGGTCTGACCCAGGACTGCAGACACCGTGGGGTGGGTGATCCTCGAGGCCTGCCGTTAATTTATTATAAATTACAAAAGCTGTAATTGCCGATAGACTGCGAGAAATGATAAGCTCGATCGATGGAATCCCACACAAGACTGAAAAGAAAACACGCTTGACCTTATAAATTATTAAAAAGACTACTTGTTGACCCATGGTCTAAATTAGACATTGAATACAAATTTTATAATTAACAAGGCAATGATACGACCTATCAGAGAAGATAAGAATTACATTTCCCATCGTCTCCAATCAATTCAGTCTAAAATTATAAATGCTCGTTTTTACGCTTCAAATCAATACTATTCCTAACGACCTATACATCCCGTTCGTACATAATCTCATCAAAGCCCGCAATAAAAAAAATTACAACCATCAATGAAGATCCACAATAATTTTCTAGTACGACAGTTATCATTTCCAACCCTACCAAAAATTCCTTCAAGCTCAGCGATAGTGACCCTGAAACCTTCTCAGTACTGAAGAATGATGAGTTTTCAATTTTAAGGAGTGTTGTCGCTGAGCAACTTCTCGTACAAGTGTCTCAATCGACAAAATCAGCATATATAGAAAATAATTTACTTAACACAATATTTTTAGTTAAAAATAAGAACTAAATGTCATTAAAAAATTTGTTTAAATATATCAGTATAATTATTAGAAAAAAGGGAAGAAAACCAAATATAAATATATCATCAATAACAGAATTTAACTAAAAATACAATAATTTAAATATAAAATATAGAAAAAATACAAATGTAGCAAAAAGAATCTACGGTGTAAAATTTAACGTTAGAAAACGTCACGAGAGAATTAAAATCATAAAAATTTAATTTAATTTGCGGAAGATTTTTGTTTTATTTTATGCCTCATTTTGTACCAGAGAATTTTTATGTTTTTGGTCGACTCTATATTGTTTACATTATTTTTAATGTAAATATCTAAATCTGACAGACTAACGTTTTTTTCTAAATCGTTTATAACCAAAAAATGAAATTTTTAGTAATTAAACGTACTCTTACATTGGTGACAACTGACTTTTGAGAAATTTACACGTTGTTTACTTTTTAGTAAGTGCTATGTTCTATACGCGCTATAGATCTGTCAGTATTTACAGAACCAAAATAAATTTTCTTAAACTTTAGACAAAAAGTTTGGAAAGTTTCTATTCTAAGTGATTTTTTTTTCATAAGATTTCAACAAAAAATGATTCCCACAGGGTTTTCAAACTTGAACCATCAAATCCCAAAAATATGTCATCAATGCATGTACTCTAGAAAATAACCCAGTCAGCGCATGCATTCAAAATCTCCAAAACTTGGGGAAAAATAATCTGACAACATCATGGATACCAGGACAGAGAGGAATTTTGGGTAAACGATAAAGCAGAAACACAAGTCAGAGTCCTGCAAGACCATATATAGGCCTGTTCCTAGGAAGAACGAAAACAAACAGAATTAATATTTAAAAAAACCAAAGGAGGAATGGATAAAATCTATAATCAAACAACTTATGTCAAAAGAACCCTCGCCAAGACAGGCAAACTCACTTTTGCAAATGGAGATGGCTAGACTCAAGAGGATTGAACCGGTCACTGGATTTTGAGAAAATCTACATATCATGGGCATA